CCTATGAAGCGGTATATAAGTCTACTGCTATTGCTATTGCTACTGGTGGACTGGTGGCCATGTGGGCTTTTGCTGCACATGGTTGCTGGCGTTGCCCCCACAAGGTAAGTATCAGGCTGTGGATGGTCTGGCTGCAGGGATGTGAGGTAAGCTGGTGTGGGGGGGGCAGCTCTATTCCCCTGTGTAGGGCTTATTTTGGGAGTAGGGCTTATTTTTGGGAAAACGGCTGTAAAAGGAGAAAAACTATTTATAAATATCAGGAAATGCAGGAAAGTCATGTTAGTTACTATTACCTAAGGTATCGTTGATTATTGGATGCTGGTGATAGATAAGAGCAACAGTCATTGTCTTTCTGCAAGTGTCATTAATGGATTCTGCATCTGATTTTCAGTCCAATCATATCTATAGGCCAAGGCAGCTTTCAAACAAAAAGTTATTGACATTGCTGCACAAAATGATACTGCAACACATAAACATGTTAAGTCTTTGAAGTGGTTAGTGTAATACAAATCACCCAGTTAGAAAAATATTTATATGTCTCAACATTTCTGGAGCTCAGTTTGAACAACTAGATTCCATATAAAATATAGGAGCTTTCATGGAGGTCCAATTGAAGAAATAGTCTGTGGAGCACTAGCCATTGAAGACACTGGACACCTTCTTTTTGGATTCTGCAAAAAGAGATGTTTACTTTGATTCTTATTAAAAACTAAAATATATTCAGGTATCCTGGAGAAAATCTCTTACTTTTTGAATGGAACGAATCTGCATATCACTAGTAACATCACACTCTTTATTCAAAGGCAAAGGGGACAAAATATTTAGATCAGATTGGGGTTAACTGTAAGTGTGATGACTTATTGTGGACATGTCCTACTGTTTTCTTTGTACCAATGTATTTGATAGGGTCAAATAATTAAATCAATAGAATTTCTCTAACATGAACAACATAGAAGCACATCTGGTCTCCGTTTATGCCAGCAAATTGTCAACTGTATCTGAGCTCACAAGTAGCTCAGATACAGTCCGGGGGATGGGGAGCCCACATCCTTGAATAAGGAAGTGGTAAAGTCCTTTACATTGGGGTCAAGAAAGTTACATGAGCGTGTTTGAGAAGTCACTAGAAATCAAGTCAATTTGAAGAATGCTATTCCTTCAAAGATCTGACTTACCATTGCTTGTACTAGAATGCCATACTTATGCAGATACAATATTCTAGTCAGCTGTGGAAGGCAGTGGAGGCACATAATATAAATTCTAAAATGGAAATTTTGATAATGAGCTATCAGAACAAATCACATACCATTGAAACAAGTGTCTTGTTCAGTTTGAAAACAGACTTATTACATAAGTATCCAGTGTAAAAAAATCCCATCTTCAAATTCTGCCATATTTTTGTTCCTCTGAAAAAGAGCGCGTTGGAGTAGATGCATTTCATTTCAGAGCGCACTGGAGTAGATACAGTGAATAAAGGAGTGGAAAATTAAACCATATCATATGCATGCCATACATTTGACTCATAGACAAGTCATTTATTTGTGAATTTAAGCTTTCTGGAAATGCATGTGATTTGATTTGTTTCCCTTTTTCCTTTGTGGATTTCTTCCAAAACAAACATACATATTTTCTTATTTCAACAAAGATAAATTCCATAGATCCACAAATGAGGGAGGGAGAATATTTCTATTTCAGAAGATGTGAGCTGACATATTCTAGGCAGGTTTAACAACCTATGGCTGACAAATGGGTTCTAATGGAGTATAATTTCCCCTCTAGCATCCCGCATACACATGTAGCACTGTTGATAATACCCTAGTAGTCTACCTATAACTGATAAGAGTTACTACCTATTTCAGCTGCTATCATATTGAGCCCTCTGTGGAAGACATTGGGGATTGTACTCGCTTAGTTGTTGCTCAATAATAGCCTCCAAGCCCTATAATCAGCTGGCCACATGCCTGTCTTCAAAGGGAAATGCTCCAATTTTCACTGCCAAAACTGTTTCTTTGATTGGTTTGCTCAGATTTGAATTTTCCAAGAGGCATCTGGTTGACTACTGTAAAATTCCATCAAATCCTAATCTTAACAGTACCATTGTAAAAAATAAGAATCTGAAGGCTACAAATATTAGCTTTCATTGTAAAAGATAAGAATTTGAAAGCTAATAAAATATTAACTTCATTAAACATTACTATATATTGATGTCAAATATATATTTGTAGGTTATGTATGAAGGGTATTTTGGTATTAACTATTCATAATATTAAGAGTTTAAATATATTTAGGAAATAATAAGTACATTTTTGCCTACAGATTTTTGAACAAAATTGAATTCTTTTTTTTTCAGTTAAATGATGATGTTAACGTGGATGTTATATGTGGTCATCATGGTCTGAAATCTTGTTTCTGATACACAAAATCATCTTGAGGAGATTAAAAAACTTTGTATTGTATTCATAAATATTTAAGCTAGACCATTTTCCTCATTTCTAACTCAAATAAATTAAAAAGTAACTGGAAAGAGTAAAGTGCAATGACAGACTTGCTGAAATCTTAAAGATAACTCTGCTATATTTATCTGAAAAGTTAAACTATATTTAGCTGGAAAGCTAAATATGCTGAAGGGCAGGGAAGGAAGGGAAATGTAAATTATATATTTTAAATCAAGCAGAGGTTTCTGTTTTTCATCTAGTTAGGCAATACTGTTTACTAAATTGAGTTCTACCTTGAAAAATATATGTTGTGCTGGCACAGGAATGAATATGACTTTTAAAAAAATTGGACAGATGTGACTTATTACATCTAACTTATCTGCTTTTAGGTCACAGCTTTTCACCCAGGTAGCTTCGAACAAAATGTACCCCTTCCATGTGCCATACTGTAAGCGACCTCTATATAGCCTGGAGTTTAAGATTTTTTTCACCTCATAATGTGTCTCCCCTTTTATTACTATAGGAGGAGGAGGACCTTGGTGGACGGTCTTATGCTGAACCCAATTACTGGTTTCAACAAACTACAATGAAATACTGTATAAATCTTTCCTCGAATTCTGGGTAGACTGAGTTGAACTGTAACTGGGTTAATTATTTTCACTATTGTGAATGGATCTAGAAATTTTGGGCCCAATTTCTTGCTAGGCATTCTTAATTTTATGTATTTGGTAGATACAAAAATTTTGTCCCCCACACAAAAGGGAGGCTGGAGCAAGCAATGTTTATCAGCTTCCTTCTTGTAGGCTTCTGCCGCATCTGCTAGAGATTTTTTTTTGTATTTTCCCATCCTTTCTTTAGAGTGTCCATCCATTCGTTCAGAGACATGGAGGAGGGAGATTCTCTAGGCAGCTCAGGCATGGGAACATATTCCATACCACTGGTAATCTGGAAAGGAGATAATCCATTGCTATTGTGGACCGCATTGTTGTACGCCACTTCAGCGAAGGGTAGCAAGTCCGACCAGTTGTCTTGCTGATAGTCCACATAACACCAGATGTATTGTTCCACCATTGCATTGGCGCTTTCCGCTGTGCTGTTCGTGCTTGGATGAAACACTGAGCTGAGTCCTTGTGTGGACCCAATGGACCTCTCCAAAACTTGGCAGTGAACTGAACTCCACAGTCTGAAATCATCCTCTTGGGCACCCTGTGCAGGCAATAAATCGCTAATTTCTTTGTGGACGGCAACCCTGAACCAGCGATGAAATGCACCTGCTTGGAAAACAAATCAATAACTGTCCAGATTACTCTGTTCCCTCTGCTATCTGGGACCTCAATGATGAAGTCCATTGCGATCTCCTCCCATGGTCAGCTGGGACTGGCCATTCATTGTAGTAGTCCAGG